GAGTTTCTGTATGTCGGGGGCAAACAGGATTGTGACAGAGATACACCTGAACTCCAGCCAACAAAACCCAACACCAACAGAGTAGCTCAAAATACTTTTTCAATGTCTTCTTCAGACATTTCATTAAGTCTCTATCCATTATTTTCACTCAAGTATATAAGTACATTTACTGAGAAATACAAACATAACCCAGTTTTTGTTTTCTGTTTCTGCTAATATGTTTATTTTATAGATGGAAAGGTAAAGGGTTGCAAATAACCACATAAATAAAACATTAAGTTTGGTTTGGAGATGAGATTTCCTCTAAATTGCTCTGTGGCTTTATAGCAAGATGCATGTTTAAGAACTGTAAACCATGAGCATATGCCAAACTGCAAACAGCCAAACACGTCTCTCATACATAATTTAGTATGTGTCCGTATACAAGGATGGGAGTCACATGTGTATATGTGCAGGGAATGAAAGGAAACATTAAAAGAGACAAACTGATCCAGCACCAAGAAGCTACGTTTGAGCTAACGGTGAAACAGTCCCAGAGGAGGTATTTATTAAATGGCTCTAAATAAAATTTGTCCCCATGTACAACTGAAAGTACTGTTACTGCTCAGGACTCATTCTACTGTGAGCAAGAGATAAGTGATAGAAACTTTACTGCCTGCAGTTTTACCGTGTTTTATCTTTTTGCTTTCATTGCTGACCTCCAGCATGATGGCTGTGTGTGCCACGATGTGTGAAGTTAAGTGCTCTGCATAACCAAGATCTGGGGCAAGACCTTCAAATTAACTTGCACTGGTGATCTTGGGCAGAATTGTTTCAGCTTGCACAAGGTAATGCACTAATCCACTGCAAAGTTTATTTTCCATTCAGTCATGGAGTTATATAGTTGTCCTTTTACAAGAGAAACCTTGAAAATGGGTTATACCTCCGCAACAGGAAATTAGATAGAAGTTAAGATACACAGATAAATTAAAATAGGTTATTTCAGTTTCATAAATTTAAAGCAGGGTAAGAACAGCATATACTTCTTAAGGCCAGTTGAAGAGTTTTTCTGTAAAGAGAACATAAACAAAATCTCTTCGTGGGCCAAGGAAGTCTTTGATCTTCAGGAAAATCTACAGAAAGATATAGGTGGATAATGGGGTTTTTTGCCATCCTCTGTCCCTTCTCAGCTCTCTCATTTTCTTGCTCAATATTCTCTTTGCCCTGTACAATTTATGCTGTGTAGAGAAATGACAGATGTCTAAAGGAACAGAGTGGCTTTAAATTACTTTTGTGAAATATTACTGCATTACTGCTGCATACTCCAATCATCAGTGCATAACTAGTTTACATTTCTGAATTACAGGAAGAAAGTACTAATAGAAAAGTGGAAAACAGGACAGCAAAACTATAATACAATAAAAAAGAGGGAATTAAGTACTTTAATAGGTTTAATATTAATCAGTCTTTCTAGTGATAATTTTTATTTACCACACACTCAACTGTTCTAAATGACAGATTTCTCAATCAGCTAGATTGAGACTCTCAGGGAGCACAATAAAATACCTCTAAAAGCAGAAGGAAAAATCAGACAAATTCTCAAGCTGAAAGGGACAGAATATACAGAGATTTAAACTTCACTGAGAAAACAGTCTCCTCAACCAAGGCCACAAACTACCTCACAAGTACTCCGAGTAGACAACTCAAATAAAAACTTCCCAAAGCAATTCTTTCAACACCCCAATGGCACTGCTACAGCCCCTGCCCAAGAAGTCAAGGAGCAGAGATTTCATGCTCCGCTGAGCATCCCCTGAAAGGGGAGGGAGATTGTTCCCGGAAAGGGGACAAGCTCCTCTCTCACGGTACCCTCCAACCTCCTGAAAAATCCACAAGCAGCCACACAAAGCTGCAGCTCACATGTACAACTGGAAGGCAAAAGGTAGATTATCACCACCATAGGCTCTCAGAAGAAACCAATGCAACTCAGCAGCACGCAGATTTGTTTCCACTGTTTTGCTCACTTCTCTTAAAGGCAATAAGGAAAGCAGGGAAACACCTTGGTCTAAAAATTTGTGAAAAAAAAATAAATTGAATTTTATTTGTAATTAGTTCTTTTTCCTCCTATTTGTGGCTATTTTCAAGCTGAGCCTATTGATTTTTTAATTTACTTTTTTTTAAGAGTGTAGCAGACAACAAACACAATCTACACAATTAACTACATATATATTTGAGGAGTTTTTTCAGAATTAAAATCAAAATAATTTCCTGCAAAATGGGACAACAAGCACATGCAAACTGGGGTTATTTGTACATTTTCATGCAAGTGCACACAGCAAAAAAAAAGAGAAAAAAAAATCTTAATCCCTTATTGCCCTCAAGATAATAGAAGCAAAGTGGCAACTACATGAGAGCACTTAACTCTGCTATAGCAGAAATTAACATTTTTGTAGAAAGATGACATGCTTCATAAAATAAATACTTTCTTGATCATATCTGAAAATAAGTCTGAGTAGAGAGTTAAGTTCTAGCCAGCACTTATGTGTAAATGATTATGAGATCATACAGATTCACCGAGGTCATGTTCTTTTTCTAACCTACTTTAGAGAAAGTGGTTTTTACAGACTAATCATATCTGACCTGGGTCATTTTCCTCTGGGAACTATCACAGCTGATCATCATCCCACAGCAGAGAATCTTAAATGATTCTTACACCAATGATGAGAGAGGGTTTCAGGGATGAGTTTGTTCCATGTACAGAGAACAAGCTAAGAATATAATCAAAATAACTGTATTAGCAGTTAAAAAAAAAAAAAAAAAAAAAAAAAAAAAAAAGCCTGTTTTCATTTTAAAAAAAAAAAAAAAAGCCTGTTTTCCATTTCAGAAGATATTTCTAAAGCAGAAGCAAACCCTGATTAGGCAGCACATATCCACTTTCCTGGCCTAAGGAAACTCATGGGCATTCTTGGCATCACAGACTTGGGGGCTACTCAACTCTCTCCAAGACAAATCCCTTTTCTTGCACTCCTGTAACACTGAACGAAAGATTTGGTGCCTGAAGCCCAGGCAAAATAACAAGGTGAGCAACTTCCTTAATACTCCAGCAGCCTGAAATCATTATTACTGCCATTATCACAGTATGCAGAAATCTTAAGGTGACTCTTAGCTTTTTTTAAATGTCAATTTGTTTATAAACTCAGATCATCTGGCAGCGTAAGATCAGTTGAAAACCAACTCCTTTCCCGAAACAGCCAGAACTATCTACCCTCTATCTCTGACCACTTGATAAACTCACATAGTCTAAAGTAACCATGTGTTGACCTTGCAGGCAGAAGTGTGGAGAAGGGAAAAACCTCATTCTCAGAACTCTTACATTTTCCAAAATAATTTTAATTTTTAGCAAAGGCAAGTTTAAAGCCTGACTAACAATAGTTACATTTAAACTTCTCATCATATCTGCCCTTACGCTCTGTCCTTGCCATGTTTCTAATCTGCATCATTTCATTGATCTGATTGATGCTCTTTATAGGAGCAGTTGCACAGTGTCAGTGTGGGAAGGCCACACATAACTGCTGCAATGGGCAGTGGAGAAGGAGGAATGTAAGAGTCTCTCAGACTGAACCTGCTCAGAAAGAAAAAATTTGTGTCTCTGCTAAGCTCATTCTAGTGGTCCAGGCTAATGCCTTGCAGAGCTCTCTTCTTGCTTTCTCCCAGAAGGAACAATTTACTAAGGAATATGTACTCCTGCCCTTTGCATGCCTCCAGGGTCTGAAAATATTTGCAGTTGAAATACCAGAAAGTATAAACCCTCAGAACAGCCTAAGGGTTCCCTTTGAACACCTAAGTACTTCAGCACTGCAGCTGCTTTAGAAAAGCACAGTAGCTGCTCTACTCCATCCCATGGATCATAAACCCAACTCAGGCAGCTCAGAGCATCCTTAAGGCCAACTTCAGGGACTGAAACCATTCCTCTCACACATACTGCAGTCTCATTTAGCAACACTTTCTGCCTCATGTTTCCTGCCACACACACCATTAAGAGGAAAAACTATTTAGATACTCTGATATTTTATACCCATAGCACACTACATTGCCTGCTGCCCTGCACAACAAAGGCTGTGTGATAACCCTGATGATTTCTTTTTGGACTAGAGTGCTTATGCTTTAGGAAAAAACCTTGATTGACATTTTTTCAGCACTGTATGTATTTCTGTACCTTCAATACCCAGCGTATTCTATTCTAAAAATCTACATGTTTATACATGGAGTATACAGGTTGGATGAGGCTTTGAGCAACACAGTCTAGTAGAATGTGGAACTGGATGATCTTTAAGGCCCCTTCTAACCCAGACCATTCTATAATTTTTCTCATTCAGGAAAACAGTATTTGGTCTCTTCCCCAACACCTCTCCCCATACAGCCTTGTGCAAAGCTTGAAGGAACTTAATTATGTTTAAAATTCTTATGTTTTCTTAAATTTTGCTGAAAATGTCCCTGTGGATCTCACTGATGCTTTTAAGCCCTTGTAGCCCAGACTGCTGAAGAGACAAGAGTAACATTAAGGAAGATCCAAAGATAGTAAATGCACCAAGTCAGTCCAGCTCAGGAAGGCCATATGCCAAAAGACTCTGAACTCGCTCCTAATACCGTTAAATCACTGCTGCCTTCAAATGCTTAGTTGTTGATTATACATAAGAAAATGGTATTTTATTACTTAAGTCAGCTGATGAAACTTTTTTTTCCCCCGCAATACATCTACTGCCTTCCACCATCCTTGAATGCCACCCTCCACTAACAGCATCTTGTCTTCTCGTCCATCTAGACTGGAAGCTCTCAGGGGCATGGCTGAAATCTTACAAGAACTACAACTCAAAAAAGTGGTAATTCTTCTATTAACTTCAGTGCAACTAGGATTCACCTCCAGTCTGCACTGAAATGTAAATCAGTGATTGCAAACTTTAATTAAAACTGCTTCTCTTTCTGGGCCTGTGTTCAACACATTTTTCACTGCTCATTTGCTCTACAAACAAATGATTTGGCTTCTGTGAAAACCAAAAGGTTTTATGACGCGGCAAAACATTTCTGGTTATGTTCAACTGAACTGTTTACCTATTCTCCCAAACTGCTTTATTTCAATATCTCACTAATTCAAGAATATCTTTTTGAGATTTTTCAGATGAAAAAGATTTTGTAAAACTTCAGATGAAACAGCTGAACTGCATCTATGCATCTGAGACAAGCCCATCATTGAGTATTAGCAACCTTCTAATAGCTTAAATAACTTAATGAAGTGGATGGAGATACAGAAACTTGATTTCTAGTTGTTTTCAGTGCATTTCAATTTTGTATTAACAAGATCATCTACCACTAACAAAAAGCAAGTTAACAAAGCTAATAAAAAGATCTGAAACTACCTTTATAACGCCTTCCCCAGGCTTCATATCTGTATAAATCTTGACATTGTACGATATATTGGAGAAGGTTGGAGAATTATCATTTGCATCAATCACCAGGATATTGACTGTCACCGGGACACTCTCCTGTACACCATCAGAAGCTGTCATCTTCAGGATTAAAAAAAAAAAAGGCAGAACATGAACATATTTTAATGATGTGTTCTGAATACAATTCCAACTGTGAGAAAATACAGTATGACAACTAAAAATTGACATTTTGTTTTTCATTTTTGTGCACACTTACAATTACAGGGTAAGACTTGGGGCAAAAGCAAAATGAAACAATGCCTTTAAAACATACTGTGTCAGATTAGCAGGAGAAATAACTGTTTCCCAGGGCTGGGCCTGAGATCTGAGCTGCAGTCCATGGCTGGACTACCTCAAGGAGCAGGGCCTAGCCACAACAGCTCACAAACCTGTCTAACACTGCAAGTCTCCCCTGGACAGGGAGCTCCTATAGGTATGTAAACTTCAAAGGCAGCATTTTAAGGTGGGACATAAAGAGCTAGAGGCCTTCTTACTCCATAGAAGAAATCTGAGCTCTCCTTTCAAATGCTAAACAGACAGAAAATCCAGAGATATTGATTGGGAACCCCTGCAGAGGAACAGGGTTTCC